CCGGGCTAGGCCAGCCAATCCCCAAGAAATGGCAGGCCTAACCCGACCTGCCTTTGTTGGCGGGCGGGTTAGGACCGACCCGCCAAATTCAGTAACCTGCCGCGGGTCGGGTCGGGTCACTTTTCCACCATTATGTGTGTGTGTGTGTGTGTTCTCCCTAGATTGTAATTCAGCTCACTGTACGAGACCTAACTATAACCATCTATCAATACAACCACAGTGGACGTAGGATTCACTTTTGAGCATCCAAACCACTTTAAAAACCGCTTCTTATTCATTCTCTCATTGCATATTTTCATATCATGTGTAATTTCTAAGTCCGCTTAGCACTTTGCATGTGTGAGTCATTGGTATCAAAATCAAGTATCAACAGTTTGGCGCTAGAAGGAGGACGCTGATTTAGTATTCGCTTTTCATCAGAAACCTTCGACCGATCGGTCATATCCATTAGCAAATGGCTCGCAGTTTCGAAATGAGTGAACTGACCTCGACAATGAGGAAATCCCCCCGGTACAGTATGACACTTCTCCTGAAGTGTCACCAGTCCAGCAAAGTACCATGGCGGATATTCCTTCAAGCTCATAACTCAACCTAGCCGTGATAAATTACCTAGAGAGGTTCAACAATACTTTCCAAACGGTTAGCCAAAGGTTGGACCGTTTGGATCGAGTCATATCACCAGAGTCCAACGAGGCGGTGCCACTGCCAAAGATGCCTACAAGTTGTGCAAAAGCACGAAAAAGGGCAAAAGCCCATACCATGTGCACTACAGCGCGTAAAAGTAAGGGAAAGCAAGTGGCGAGCAGTGGACCGAAGGGCTCCGAAGGACTAGCGAACATTGGTTGTGCAACGGGTAGAATATTTGTAATTGGGTTACAATTATGTATAACTGGGTTACAATTACAAAGTATCATCTAAATTAGTTTATTCTTACCGCCTACCGAAATGTTGAAATTTAGTTTTTTGCATGCTCTTTATCAATGCAGTGTGACTGCAGATTATCTATAATTGTTTTTTGGGGAAAGTTTCTATGTGACAGAGTAACGGGATCTTGCATTTTAGTTTAACCTTGTCAAGTGTTCTCTTGCGATTGCTGATTATACATGTAAGACTGTAACCCTGTGATGTGCTGAAGTTTTGATTTGGTTTTGTTTTTGGTGTTTTTTCAATGTAATTTTTTGTGAAGCAGTTGCTATATATGGTGTTATTGTTGCAATTATTTTACAAACAAAGTTAGAAAGTGTTCCAACTTCAAAAATATATGCACCAAAGTCACTTAGAGCTGGATACGCCATCTTTGCCTCTAGGATCATTGTTGGCTTTGCTAACCTTGTTTGCGGGTTTGTTCTCTTCATCTTTTGTCTTGCATCTTTCAGTGAAGTTCTCCTAGTAATTTTTCTTTCTGTTTCGTGAAACATAATGGTTTATGATGATTATTATTTTTCCAATAGGTTGTGTCTAGGAATAATTGGAAGCAGCTATGCATTGTCTGATGCTCAAAACTCCTCACTTTTTGTGAAGATTATAGTGATTGAGATCTTCGATAGTGCCCTTGGGTTGTTTGGAGTAATCGTGGGAATAATTATGTCAACTCAAGCATCATGGCCTTCAAAATGAGTCTAATTTCTTGTTTTGTTTGTATTGTGATAGTTGAACCATATGAGCATGCACTCCATTTTGTGTACTTTCAAACAAACTTTTATATGTTGTAGCTTTCTTGTTACTAGTAGAAATGGAAAAACCCATGTGGGAATGCTATGTTCTTTGTTTTCTTGGTTTGTGTTATATGAATATTACGTTTATAAATAAGAATTTCATACTTTGGCGAATCAAAAGTGGTACCCATCAGCTGCAACGAGCACTTTTACTATTTGATGATCTCATTAATTATATACATGAAGAGTATGAAGATGGAGTTTGTTAGGCTCTGAACTATATTCTTGTTAGAGTAGATGCCCGAGAGCCAATCAATTATTGTAGAATTGACTCTTTGTTATAATGTTTATTAATCAATAATAAAAGACATTTTATTCTATATCACATAAATCATATTATTGCAAATGTATGATATATGTCCTTAGAATGGTAGAACCATGACGAGGGTATCAAGTGTTTAAATCTTGATAGTAGAACCCTATGAGCACATATGGTAGCCATTCTAGAAATGTCAGTAGCCCAGTATTATCTGAATAAGGGCACAGATAATACGGTAAGGCTATCATAGTGTTGAACGACCCTGTCGAAAGGCAGTGACTGATCTCATTGTCAAGGTGTTTTTGGTGACACCTGGTGCAACAATGAGTGCTTGCTGTAGGCAAACACCGCAACAAGTTCACTGGACTGACCCACCAGAGGATTCCATATGGATGGTAACCCTAGTATCTGATAGACAATCATCTAACGAATGGTGGTGCGTGATCCTTAGACTTGAGATCACCGAGGACCTTGTGCACCGATTGGTGTAGTTTGACACTAGCCTAACGAGTGCTTTAGCAGCAGTCAATACGGTGGTGATTGGCTGCATCAAGGAGTGTATCAAGACTATGGTGGATTGACAGAGGATTTATCACTCCTGGGTACGGGAGAAAGTTATCTCACGGAGCAATTCAGTATATGGCAATGACACTAAAACTGTGGCCACAGTGGGATTGAGTTGTTGCTCTATCCAGTTTATAATACGGGTCATTGGTCCAGAAACTGAATAAATAATATCGAGAGTAACCGAAGGTTGACACTATTTCTATGCCTTCGTCTCGTCGAGATAACGTATGATGAAAGGATCGAATTGTACGGTAACCATATCATTGACAGGTAGCTACTTTGCTAAATCCGAATCTATCGGGTGGCCATGATGCCTTGCTAGGGGCCAATCTTGGTCTGTGTATAGTGAGACGATTAATTGGTGTTAATCGCGATACTGTACACTGCCAGTATGATGAAGAGCCTATGGGTCACACACATAAAAGATAATTTATGATCCAAGAAGAAGGAAGGGTGTTTTCGTCTTTTTAAGGTGAAAGGGTATTTTGGTAATTTCACAGTGCAATTACATTTGCTAAGGTCGTAGCCTTTATTTAATTTATTAGAAAAATTAAATAAGTGAAATTACGTTTAAATATGTGTTCGCATATATTTAATTAAATCATCATTATTGTTAAATGTTAATATATAGATTAAATATATATTAATTGAGTTTAATTGAGATAATGATGAAATAAATAAAATATCTAATTTGGGAGTGTTTGGTAATATGGGGTGTTTGGGTTGGAGCCCAGGCACAATATTTTGGCGGCAACAATTCTATTTTGATTGGGCTGCTGTAGTTGTTGCAGCAGATATTTGGCACAGTCAAGTTGATTTTTTGTTTGACATGTTTAGTTGAGACTACGACATGTTTTGGTATATGTATTTGCTTAAATTCAAATATATTATTTTTTAATCCACTACAGTAGGCTGCTTTAGGTAAAACAGTGGAGTTGCCTTGTGTAGATGTTTGTTGTTCAGTGAATGAAATACATAGAAAAACTTTCAGCCTTTGCCATCCCTTTCTTTTACAAATCACTCTCTCTTTACTCTCATCCTCTCTCCAACTGAACCAACAATTGGTATTAGAGCCCCACTGATCTTAAGGGCCCGATAAACTCACCTCTTCTCACCCATTTTCTCAGCCTCTATTCTGGCAAAACCTCATGTCAAACTCCACACAGTCTAATTCAATGGCACAACACACAACCTTTCTTACTCTTTCAACCTTTAACGGTGACCAATACCACATATGGGCTGTCAAAATGAAAACCTTTATGAGGGGACAAGGTTTATAGCAGTATGTTGAAGAAAATAGACAGCCACCAGCATTGGAGCCAAACCCCAGTCTGAATTAGATTAGGCTGCATGATGAGGAAGCCACCAAGTCACCTAGAGCCTTGTCACATATCCATGCAGCAGTGACTAAACAAGTGTTTACAAGGATCATGGCATATGAGATAACCAAGGAAGCATGGGATAATTAAACTCAAGGAGGGGTTTGGTGGCAGTGATACAATAAAAAACATGCAGGTGTTGAACTTAAGAAGAGAGTTTGAAATGCTAAAGATGTAGGAGTCAGAATCAGTGAAGGAATATATAGATAGGTTGATGAATATGGTGAATAAAATCAGGTTAATGGGAGAGGAAATGACAGATAAAAGGATAGTGGAGAAAGTCCTAGTTAGTCTACCCGAGAGGTTTGAATCCAAGATATCCTCACTTGAGGATTCTGAGGACTTATCACAAATCACTCTCACTGAATTGGTGTATGCCTTGCAAGCTCAAGAGCAAAGGAGATTGTTGAGGCAAGAGGACTTGAGTGAGGGTGCAATGGTGGCAGGACTCAAAAGCAAACCTGGTCAGGGAGGAAGCAAAAGGTCTGCTAGAGATAAGAAAGGGAAGGAGAAGATGGCCAACCAGTGGAGCAAACCAAGTGGAATGAGAGAGTTTCCACCGTGTACTCACTGCAAGAAGAAGGGTCATGCTGAAAAAAGGTGCTGGTTCAAACCTAACATCCAATGTAGAGCATGCAAACAATATTGACATATTGAAAAGGTGTGCAAGAACAAACCAAACCACTCAACACAGCAAGCACAGATTGTTGAGGATCAACAGCCAAATTCAGAGTTTGAGCAAATGTTTGTGGCTTCATGCTGTGCAGTTCAAGCCTACAATGATGCATGGTTGATAGATAGTGGCTACACTAATCATATGACAACAAACCTGGAGGACTTTGTCAACTTGGACAAGTCATACCATTCCCAAGTTAAAGTTGGAAATGGGGAGTTTGTGGCTGTCAAATGGAGAAAAGACATTGCTGTGCAAACAAGTTCAGGTATCAAACTAATCCTTAATGTTTTGTATGTGCCTAATATAAGCCATAATTTGCTTAGTGTAGGACAAATGTTAGAAAGAAAGTATGCCCTGCACTTCCAGGATCAGTTTTGCACAATCCTGGACAGTGAACNCTTCTCCACACATATTCGTAAGACTGCTGCATCTAATATTGACATGTTTGTGCTTCTCAGTCCATGAGGTGTTTTCCGGTGAGCAGCATTTGGTTTCTTTCATCACTTTCCCCAACTCCAGAGCCCAAACCTTCTCTGCCTCTTGGTGCTTATTTTTTATAATGTCATCTCTTACTTTCAAAGTGACTGAATTTCCCTGCAGACATTTTCCAATAAATAAACGTAAAAATCATTTGATTTAGCATACAAGACTCTTATTGTAATATGTATTACAGTCTACTTTATTTTCTCTGATCTTCTTAACTCAAAGGCTAACTCATTATATAAATCTGTGTTCTATTTACCAAATTCCAATTGTTCTTAGCATTCTATACCTGAAACTTTGGGGCACTAAAAGTAGGATTAATTTTAATCCCATGGCTATTATATAGAAAGTTAATCTGCACGGTATATGGATATGGAATAAGCAATTATCTTCAGATCAGGCTCAGGTTGATTGACATAGCAAATCCAATTAAGCCTTTTGTTGAGAAGCTCATAAAACCCACTCTGAGTTCCTGAACCCAGCTCAGAGTACAAGCATTTCCCAAGCTCAGGGTACACCCTCCGCATCTTTGGATGGTTTCAGAATTCTCATTCCCTGAGTAATCGAGAACCCCAAGCCATGCATAGTAACCTGAATACCTGTAGAAGAATGCAATCATGACACACTATGCCATTGCAGTAAGTTTACTTTTGGGTAAGGCAGTGGGACACCGATAAGAGATCTATTATCAATAACTTTAAGGGGAAAAAAAAAAAAGCTATCAATAAATTACAGACCTCAATTTAAGGTCTGGAAGAAAACTTTGGCGAATTAAAGAGCGATACCCATCTGCAGCAACAAGAAGATCAGCCTCTATCTCAATGATCTCATTGGTTTGAAAAACTTTAGCCTTAACAGTAACAAAGGTTTTATATTCAGAAATGTCCGGTTCAAAAAACCGGTTTCGGTTAACCGCTTTTTATTTTTTCTCGAACCGTTAACCGAACCGAAAATTCGGTTTTTTGAATTTTTCGAACCGTAACCGAACCGTTTTTTTGGTTAACCGGTTTTCCGGTTCGGTTATCGGTTCAGTTACCGGTTCGGTTCGGTTTTTGCATTTTTTTTAACACCCCTAGTATTCAGTTTCTGGACCAATGACCTGTATTATAATCCGGATAGAGCAACAACTCAATCCCACTATGGCCACAGTTTTAGTGTCATTGCCATTTACTGAATTGCGCCGTGAGATAACTTATCCCGTACCCAGGAGTGATCAATCCTCTGTCTATCCACCATAGTCTTGATACACTCCTTGATGCAGCCAATCACCACCGTATTGACAGCTCTGAATAGAACTGCGTTAGGCTAGTGTCAAACTGCACCAATCGGTGCACAAGGCGCTCCGGTGATCTTAAGTCTAAGGATCACATGCACCACCATTCGTTAGAGGATTTGTTCCATAGACACTAGGGTTACCATCCATATGGAATCCTCTGGTGGGTCAGTTCAGTGAACTTGCCGCGGTGTATCCGCCTATAGCAAGCACCCATGTGTTGCACCAGGTTGTCACCAAACAACCTTGACAAGTGAGATCAGTCACTGCCTTTCGACAGGGTCGTTCAACACTATGATAGCCTTACCGTATTATATGTGCCCTTACTTCAGAATAATACTAGGGCTACAGACGTTTCTAGAATGGCCACCATATGTACTCATAGGGTTCTCACTATCAAGATTTGAAACACTTGATACCCTCGTCATGGTTCTACCATTCTAAGGACATATATCAATACATATTGCAATAATAATGATTTATGCGATATAGAATAAAATGCCTTTTATTATTGATTAATGAACATTATTACAAAGAGTCAATTCTACAATAATTGATTGACTCTAGGGCATCTACTCTAACAGTGAGAACCCTATAAGCACATATGGTGGCCATTCTAGAAATATCCGTAGCCCCAGTATTATTCTGAAGTAAGGGCACAGATAATACGGTAAGGCTATCATAGTGTCGAACACCCCTGTCGAAAGTCAGTGAATGATCTCACTTGTCAAGATTGTTTGGTGGCAACTTGGTGCAACACATGGGTGTTTGCTATAGGCGATTACACCGCAGCAAGTCACTGGACTGACCCACTAGAGGATTCCATATGAATGGTAACCCCAGTGTCTATGGAACAAATCCTCTAACGAATGGTGGTGCATATGATACTTAGACTTGAGATCACTGGAGTGCCTTGTGCACCAATTGGTGTAGTTTGACACTAGCCTAACGCAGTTCTATTCAGAGCTGTCAATACGGTGGAGATTGGCCACATCAAGGAGTGTATCAAGACTATGGTGGATTGACAGAGGATTCATTACCCCCGGGTACAGGAGAAGTTATCTCACTGCGCAATTCAGTATATGGCAATGACATTAAAACGGTGGCCACAGTGGGATTGAGTTGTTGCTCTATCCATTTTATAATACAGGTCATTGGTCCAGAAATTGAATACATAATATCGAGAATAACCGAAGGTTGACACTATTTCTATGCCTTCGTCTCGTTGAGATAATTGATGATGAAAGGATCGAATTGCACGGTAACCATATCGTTGACAGGTATCTATTTTGCTGAATCTGAATCTATCGGGTGGCCATGATGCCTTGCTAGAGGCTAATCTTGGTTTGTGTTTAGTGAGACGATTAATTGGTGTTAATCATAATACTATACACTGTCGATATGATGAGGAGCCTATGGGTCACACACATAGAAGATAATTTAAGATCCAAGAAGAAAGAATGACGTTTTCATCTTTTTAAGGCGAAAGGGTATTTTGGTAATTTCATAGTGCAATTAAATTTGCTGAGGTCGTAGCCTTTATTTAATTTGTTGGAAAAAATTAAATAAGTGAAATTACGTTTAAATATGTGTTCACATATATTTAATTAAATCATCATTATTGTTAAATGTTAATATATAGATTAAATATATATTAATTGATTTTAATTGAGATAATGATGAAATAAAATAAAATAAAATATCTAATTGGGAGTGTTTGATAACATGGGGTGTTTGGGTTGGAGCCCAAGCCTATTCCATATGGGAATAGGTCAACTAAGATTTCTATATAAAAGAAAAGTTAAATGTAAAAGGGAATTAATTTCATTCGAGAATTTTCTCTTTGAAAAACACACACAGAGCAGCCCTTTTTTACTCTCCCACGGCAGAAACATTTTTTTGCCCAAATCAAATCAATTTGATTTACTTCTTCTTTAATCTTAAAGCCAAAAAGGATCTAGCAAATCCCTCTTTGGTTCTTTGTGATTGTCTTCATGTGGACTACGTCGGTTCGATCCTACGCTTGGGTCGGTAGCAAAACGTTCAAAGACAAACGCGGTGGAGCCTCCAAATGTGCATTTGGTTTCTAAACTCATGATTAACCTTTTGTGCAGATTTTACTTTAATATAAATTATAAAATTATACCCTTGATCTTGGATCATGTAAACGATCCTTATATTTTTTATTTTTGTTTCCGTTTCGTATATGGGACCGTTTACTAACATTCACATCACTAGAGATGTGAAGGTAGATGAAAGGGGATCTGAAACTAGAAGAAAAATGAAGTTGAAGAAGATACAAGAGAGCAGATTGTAGACACAACAACAGGCATATTTGATGATCTAGAAGAGGCAGATTTGGATGATGATTTTCCAGTCAGGGGTACGAGGTCTCTAGTAGAGGTTTATGAGAGATGCAACACAACCTTGTTTGATTGCTAATTTCAAGGAGGCTGCTAAGTCAGAGGTCTAGAGGAATGCAATAGAGGAGGAGATAAAAATGATTGAAAAGAATGGCACATGGGAATTAGTTGACAGACCAACAACTAGAAGAGTAATCCAAGTAAGGTGAATTTATAAAAAGAAGCTGAGGCTTGATGGATCAGTGTACAAACACAAAGCAAGATTAGTTGTCAAGGGGTTTGGTCAACAATTTGGAGTGGACTTCTCGGATACATTTGCACCCGTGGCTAGGCATGACACAATCAGACTTCTCCTTGCCTTGGCAGCCCAATTTGAGTGGAGAATATATCAATTAGATGTCAAATATGCCTTCCTAAATGGTTGGCTCAATGAGGAAATTTATGTGGAGCAACCGGAGGGATATGAAGTGGAAGGGCAGAAGCATAAGTTGTATTTGCTGGGAAAGGCTCTATATGACTGAAACAAGCCCCTAGAACCTGGTATAGTAGAATTAATGAGTATTTGATCAGCTTGGGATATGTAAGGAGTGCTAATGAACATACACTATATGTGAGAAGGCTGGAAAGTGAATTAACCATTGTGTCATTGTACGTTGATGCTTACTCATCATGGGAAGCAGCTCAACTCAACTTGAGGAGTTTAAAATGGCCATGCACAATGAATTTAAGATGACTGACCTTGGGGAAATATCCAATTTTCTTGGGATGGAGATCCACCAAAGTCACCATGGCATATTTGTTAATCAAAGGAGGTTTGCCAATGAAATTCTGCATAAGTTTAACATAGACAGATGCAAACCAGTGGACACTCCACTGGTTGTAAATTTAAAGCTGAGCAAGGATGATAGGGCTGAGAAGGTTGATGAGAAAATGTATAGAAGTATGATTGGTTGTCTACTGTACTTGACTGCCACCAGACTAGATTTAATGTTTGCAACCAGTGTTCTTTCTAGGTTCATGACCAGCCCAAGTGAAATCCATCTCAAGGTAGCCAAGAGGATGCTGAGGTATGTTAAGGGAAGTGCTGAGCTTGGAATATGGTTCAAGAAGACTGAAAACCTACAACTTATTGGGTACTTAGATAATGATTGCGTTGGATGCATTAATGATATGAGGAATACATCAGGTTATGTTTTCTTCTTAAATTCAAGAGATATATGCTGGCATTCCAAGAAGCAAGACACCACTGCTCAGTCCACGGCAGAAGCAGAATACATTTATGCTACTGCCACGGTGAACCAGGCTATATGGCTGAGGAAGATTATGCAGGATTTGAGGCAAATTCAAGAAGAACCAACTGTGATTTTTTGTGACAATCAATCAGCTGTTGCAATGGCAAAGAATCCAATCTTACATGGCATAACAAAGCACATCAAAATCAAATTCCATGCTGTGAGAGAAGCAGAGAGTAATGCTAAAGTGAAATTAGTCCACTACAAGGGTGAAGAACAAATTGCATATATTATGACCAAGGGTCTACCTAAAACCAAGTTTGAGAGTTTGAGACTTAGACCTGGTGTTTCCAGCAAGATTATCAAGGATGAGTGATGAAGTTGGTGATAACCTGCTAGAAATGGGACAAAATCCGACAGAAGGTTTAAGTTGCATTTTGGAGCCAAAGTTTCAGTTTTTGTTTTATTAGGCTGCAGTAGTTGTTGCAACAAATTTCAATGCAATCAAGTTCAGCTTATTTAACATGTTTTGTTGAGGTTAAGACTTGATTTGGTGTGTGCATTGGTTGAAATTCAAATGTAATATCTTTATTGCAAAGCAGTAGGTAAAACAGTAGAACTTTCTTGTATAAAAACTTTTGTTCAGTGAATGAAAATAGAGAGTGAAAACTTTCAATTGTTGCTGTCTCTCTCCATTTCAAATTCTCACATTTTACTCTAATTATCTTTTCATTTGAACTAACAATTACCTGGGACACCATTCTTTTCTTCGGTTCCAAGAATTGCAGCAACTTGCTCACTCCTCCAAGATTACTCAAAGATTCAAAGTTCTTCTCTTTCACCATGGTAGTGAGTATTTTCTAATCAATGTCGAGACAATTAACTCCAACGTCTACCGATAACAATGGCAACATAAGAGAGGGACCGCAAGATTTGTTTATCGCTATCTTTGACAAAGAAGCAAGAGCCGTAGTGAAGCGAATGACATCAAAATCCAATTGCCGCCTTCT